TGATCGTCCGCAGTCATGGCAGCTGACAAGCTGCTCGGGCACCATTGTTTTTTTATTTTGATGGCAATCACCAAGGCATAGGTCGCAAACCGTGGATACATCGATGCTCGGCGACAGCACTGAAAAGTACTGAACGTGAGAACCGCTTCGCAGCAAATCTCGTTGGCTCACAAGACGTTCTTTTACTCTGTGCTGAGCAACAGTCGGCTCGTTGCCAGCAACATTTTCCCTCTGTTTCAGGGCCATTCCTGTGAAGGATTTTTTTTGCGCAGGTGCTGCTAACAAGCGGATTTTCTTGTGCACTGCAAGTGTGATGCGTGAAGTGGAAATTTAGAAGTCCATTTGCGGATGTGCGGTGTCGGGAAGTGATCAGATTGCGTGTGGGAGCGCCCGTTTCTGACTGCGATTTTTTTCAAAACACTACCCGCTGTTGTGTTAAAAGCCTTACTGATTTCAATCTTTTATACTTCTAATTATAAATATAAATGTGAATTTCGTGACAGCAGCAATCAGTTACAAAACAATGTAACAGCAGTGATATAACAATCAAAAAATTTTTTCCCGTTTTCGGAGGATGAGTTACCCGATAAAGAGAGAACTACCCAATGCGCATGGTCCCACTCGCCATAATCGTAGCGTAACTTAAAAACGAAGGAATAATAATCAATCGATACGGTGTGCTGCAGGTTGCGGAGTTGTTGACGGACTGACGTTGTCTGCGTGTACGTGAGCTCGATGATAATTCAGACCCGGACGACTCTTGTACTTTGCACCACACACTGCAACACAGCATCCATTCAGTTTTTTCCCCACCAAAATACTTTCAAACAACCACTACCCCAAAGGAACTGGTGTAACGCAAAATTCTTGAACATCGTTGAATTAAACAGTATCGCTGATCTGATTTTTGCAAAATGAACTGATACTTAACTTTATCATTTTATGTCCACGAGATTCCTAGATCTTCCAATTTGATTTTCACAATGCGATCTTAAATTAAACTTTCACTTTCTGCGTTGACCAGTGACTTTCTTTGAGGGAATGCAGCCAGCGTATGGAAAGCTTTTCCAAAATAACAGCTCAGAATGATTCTATCACTAATTTGGTAAAAATGACCTTGCTACCATGCCACAAGTCTTGCACTTCCCCCTTTGTCAAATATATTAGTATCATCCATAACCGTTGCCTTGACGAAGTCCAGTTGTAATACCAAAAAAGGAATATATACGATTTAAGGGAGTGAGATATCCCTGCTTAGAATCATCATTCTTATTTCAGTTTTTTCCCGCAATGTTCTAAATAAAATTATCAAATTGCCAGTGAAAGCTCACTGCAAAATAAAACATTTACCCGTCCTCCTTAACTTCTCCAAATTCTTCATTTAGAAATGAGGCATGCGGTGCTTCCAAATAACATGAAAAATAAACATCTGAAAAATTCAAAAAAGTGCTCACAATTGCAAGCGAAAGGTTTCGGGTCGGGCGTAAATCCCTGCGTAGCTGGCACATTAACTGATACCGCCGATGCACTTTTGCGCCCTCCACGACCTCCGCCTGTTGCGCCTCTTTTTTTTCCTCG